ATTGGGCTCCGGCTACCTCACTCACCAGACGAAACGCGAAAGTATTTGTCATACTGTCACTTTACGCTGGTCTTCTGTGAGGTCGTGGTACTTACCCGGACGGGCCTGCCCATTCGTGCAACAGCCGAGGCTGCTGCGTGGCCCTACCACCGTATTTCTTTTCTATATACATAAAAATAACCCTCTAATATATTTATTAAATGAAAATATTATTTTAACCTATATATTTATTAAATAAAACTATGCTACATATTTAATGGCATTTGAATTCGTATTTTAATTTCAAAGTGTTAGAAAAGTAATTGACCTTTTGAACATTTATAAACAATTGATGTAAGTAAGACATATACTGTGATGAAACTTATGATGAAATGGTTTATTAAGAATATGTAAGTACTATTAATTTTACACTAACATTAATTAATTCTTTTAAAACTTCGAGCATCCATTATGGAAAAAAGCGTCCACGATCTTGTCAATTTGTCCCGTATATCGCGGGGATGGAGATACTCGCAAAAAGCGGCCATTCAGCGGTCAATTTCAATCACGTATCTCATATGTCCCGGAAAAGATTCCCTGCGCCATTTAATCACGGCTATTTCCTAAGCGATTAAATGTATAATGGAAATAGGAAAGCTCCGGTGGGGCTTACCGTTAAAACAAATCAAGCGGAACTAAGCAGTCACCGAGAGGCTACGCTGGCCTTATACAATACTAGCTGGAAATTTCGCCGCGGAACCGTCTAGTATTGTATCGCGCAACCGTCTCGTATTGCCGCAATTGAATTATATTTGCATAGTTACCGGGTTGAAATATACAAATACATCCGCGGCACAAAGCCGTATACGGACGGTATTTGAATACCGTGGTGAAAATTGTATTTCAATGCGCCCGGCCGTGGCGCATTCGAATGGCTCGTTTGCAATTAATTTTAGCCCGCTCGACTTTGAGGCTTGTTATATCTTGTTATTTGTAATGTAACCGCAACCAGGTAACGTAAAGGTCGGCTAACTGTAAGTGGATGTAGTAGCTTGATGAATATAACTATAATAAATGATAACGATTAGATAACGATTAGAACTGCTTCCGGCAGGGCTATGCGAAGTTCTTACACAATAAAATCCTCTCGGTGAGGCCAGGAGAAGCCTACCCATCTTCTAGAAGGAGAAAACCACTTCGTTCTATACCTCGTTACAATAGTGTAGTGTTGAGGATATTTTAACACTTTTCTATAAGCCCATACGGCTTGGGAACCTGGTATAATGAGAAATATATATTTTTTTGAGGAAACTAGTTAAGCAAGCAGGGTGGTTCACCTGATGTTAATCACCACCGCCATGGACATCAGAAAGACTGCACGGGCGCAGGTGTATTACCAACTTATAAATTGTTTACCTCTAAAATGTTGGATCCCGGTGACCTCAGACGAAACACTAAAGTGTCATACTAATTCACGCTGATTATCTATAAGACCGTGGTACTTCCCCGGGAGACTGCCCATTCGTGCAACAACGGAAGTTGATGCGCGGCTCCACCACAGCAAATGTGTAGGATTCTGCTTTTACCAATTTATAAGTCCCGATAAACCCAATTGTATCAAGTAAGGGAGGTATGAAAAATAAATAAACGAATCGTATTTTTTTGATGTTGTACATGATTTTTTTCAACTTTCATTAATGCAGATTATATTAAGTAAGCCAGTGTTGAGAACCTGTTAAAATAATAACGTTTTGTTTTTTGAAAAACTCGACGTGCTCATCGCTTGTTTTTTTAAGTTAAAAGGAATGTGAATGGATTTTTTGTCCTTTTGTTTTAATCTGTAGTCTGTTACCTCTTTTGATCCGGTAGGGGCTTACAGGTTAATTGTGTTGTCAAGAGGTCAATAGTTGTATTATTCGAATTGGATTTATTTTATTTGTCGATTTTGTGTATGTCAATATGACTAGAAATATTGTTTGAATGAATCTTAATGTATAATTAATGTCTTTTTTGTCAATTGATATGTTTGAGAGATTATATCCAAAAATATCGTATCTAACTCGTTAATATCAATCACGTTTAGTAAGAGAAGTGACAGCTAAGAAACAAAAGGCTAATGTCCTCCCGATGGCTTCTTTTTTCTAACAGCCGCTCTGACTCCCTTACGGAGAGCGTAAGTAAAAAAAGGCATTAACATTCTAACGATGCAAGCTGATTTTTCTGATCATGATACTAATATAACGAACAAAATGAACCAAACACGTCAGTCAACGCAATAACTAAATCAACTTTAGATTGATGTTAATATCTTAGGCGTGAACATGTTCTACGACTACGTGTTATTATAGCTGCCTTCTCACATGATTAGAGTCACGATTAAACTCATGATTAAAGCTACGATTATAATGTGTGATGAACTAGTGGCTGATGTGGTCTTGCGACGTTCTCGTCTCTTCTTCGAGTCCAATGGGCTAGCTCCAATAGGTTTACCCTTCATTGGGTTTTTAGGCGCGAAAACTTTCGTCTAGCCAGTTCCACTAACTGTCAATTTTTTGATTAAACGAACCTGATAAAACAGTAAAATAGAATATGTTATTTCTATTTACCCCAGTTGGGTTGAACGTTGCAGCTTATTTATGTTTTGATTGCAAGAAGATTATGTATGAACCCAGCGATTTTTTAAATATCATTTCATTTTGGGTGGTTGTACTAGGAATGACAAATTATACTTTTTATTGTTTAGGTAATTAATATTATATTGGACTTAACATATTCAGTAACATGTTATCACAGTATTACTAAAATTTTCGTGTTAACAATTTCTACCGTGCTTCTATCGTTAATGAACGGCAAAAATATGTTCCCACATAGAAAAATAAACCATGTCACATACAGCATACAAAAAAACAAAAAGGTGCAATTTTTTGGATGTGAAAACAGTAATTTGTGATTTCATGAGATTCCTCTAAGTTACTCCTTGATTTATTGTAACAAAAAGGTACAATTTTTTGGATGTGAAAACAGTAATTTGTGATTTCATGAGATTCCTCTAAGTTACTCCTTGATTTATCGTAACAAAAAGGAGCAATTTTTTGGATGTGAAAAGAGTAAATTATGATCGTGTGATTACTCTAAGTTATTCTTCGACGTAACTAGAAATATTTACATTGAACATTGTCTGTATCATAATTCGGAAGCCCATTCCGTTGTAACACTTACGGGCGGCAATCAAAACGTAGTCAAACTATAATAAGAACTGACGCGCCATCATGTCAGCTGTCATAGTCGAATTAGAGCGGTTTCTTTTTCGAGTTGGAGATGTATTTGATTTGAAACGTGTTGTGAGGTATGATATGGAGTTAATACGAAGATGTAACAGTTTAGTTAGTGAATATCTAGTAGCTGTTAACAGTTGTTAGGATCTTAACGCTTTCAGGTTAGGACCCTAATGATTAATAGCATGGATTGGCTTATGATAGCACGTTGAAGACTATGTAAGGTTTAGGTGCGAACAAGTTTTTGCTTCATTTGGAGTGAACGTAAAATATTCTTTATATGTATTCTTTAAGGGAAGTTAGTTAATTTTTAAAAAAGTAGTGTTTTAACACAATAACGGCTTGCTTAAATACACTGAAGTTAGAAATCAAGATCTTAGAGCAAGTGTTTTAAAAAAAATCATGAATGGGTCCAGATAATATCAGAGAGTGTGAATGCAGATTCGTTGGAAAAACTGGAAGGAAATATGAGGTTTTTGGCAATAATTTCTTAGGGTAACCAAAAATTTTTTTTAATGCGAAAAGTTGCCAAACGAGCAGACGAGTCACCTAATGTTAAGTGAATACCGCCGCCCATGGACATCTGTTACACCCGAGGGTTACAGATGCGTTGACAACCTTATATTAAACTAATTGTTTGTGTTATGTACTTGTTTGCAAATGTAATTAGTTTATAAAAACTTCTTCCCGGTTTTAATGACGCTCAGTTTGCTTTTAAATGTCCGACCCTTCGAACGTTTTACATTACTCATGGTCAAGGAGCAGGCTTTGTACAGTTTCATTCACAATGTTTTCGCGTAATTCTATGATATCGTTCTACGAATTGTTTGCTTCGTTCGTTGGTTAGGTCATCATTTATAATGCATACCCAATGTATTCTTCACAAAACAAGGTTAGGTTACACGTTTGATTAACAAGTACGTTTGAAGTTTGAACCTAAATTAGCGTCATATCTAAAACTCGCGTGGCTAAACAGTCTGTACCAACTGCGCAGCTTAGAATAAGTGTAGACTATGCGATGAGACAGGGTTGTCACGTGATAATGAACGAACCGCGACTGTGCCCGTTTCACATCCTCTATTTCCTAAGCCCTGACTACAAAATGAGACTGCGTGTATCTTTAATTAGATCGAAATCAATTCACGCCCCTGGATTTATGTTCTATCGCGTGTCGATTCATGCAGCCGAAATTATAATTTGTGTTCGTGGAGCCGATTGCAGGCGGTTTGTCAAAGCGCCGGGAGCCGGCATTAAATTGGTATCTAATCACGAATAAATGTCTTAAGAACGTTCGTTAATCGAGCTTTTTTTAATTATGTTCACATGGAACGCTGTCGATTTGTTTGGAATCGATTAAGGTGATGAATCGATTTTAAAACGTGAAATACCATTGGTTTGATGTGTCTAGTAATATAAAGCTTTTCCCACAGGTTCGATTCTAAGGCCGAACCCCGAACCGTCAACATCAAACTAAAATTTCATTTAACCGACTTCAAAAAAAAGATGTTCTCAATTTGATTGCATGCTTTGCTTGTTGTGTGTTTGTTACCTTATGAACATTTATGAACTGATTCTAAAAATTCCTTTTGCGTGGCATGGACGGCTAAACGGACGGGTAAGCGGATTCGATATCCGGGCTGGTGTGCACGAGCGCCGATGAAACTTAGAGACGTAGGTGCCCATTAAATATTCGCGGGAGGTAATTTCAAGCGGTAGGTAGAGCCGGCTCTCCTTACTACACGGGTGATGCAACAGTTACCTCGCGGACATGTTATTACCCCGTTCGAGGGAGGTAACACGTGCTCCGGACCTCTAATCGTCCAACAGACGCCCCGCGTTCCGGTAATCGTCTATTTCTGGGCGTTTCGCGCGTGATCGAATGCCGCGGCGACATGTTTCCTACAACAATTAACGGTTCTCGGTAATCACTGTTTAGTCCGGTAACCGTTTTCTTGTCGGTAGGCGGCTTAAACAAGACAGTGGCAGCGTAAAATTGTACTTAGCAATTCTCTTGTCCCGATATAAAAAAAAAGTGATTTAAGTATCTTAAGTAGGTAGTTATTAAGTCTAATCATGATGGTGTTAACTTTACGGAGAGTTAATGTCAGCAGCGAGAATCGAATTAAAGCTTTATGCTATTTTTGGAAAGATGAAGCGGAACCAACTAGACTTCTAAGCAAAGGACACGCTATGAAATCTATAAAAATCGAGTAAAATTATTTTTCAAATTAAGATAGTTTAGAAATAGTAGAAAGCTTACCCAGTGGAAGGTCTGTTGAACTTGCAATATTAAGTGTACTACACAGACAATAAACAGGTGCTGGTTGGTATTTATGTCCTTGAAGTCACTGGCTCGAAATTATTTACCGTTTAAGGCGACAAGACTTTTATATACGCTAATGAAACACGAATAATATAAGCTTATTTAGTTACGAGTTTTAGTGAATATAAGCAGATTGATACAATCATCATCATCATCATCATTTCAGCCTGTTTGAGTCCACTGCTGAACATAGGCCTCCCCCACAGACTGCCATGAAGCACGATCCTGAGCCACCTGCATCCATCGACTTCCCGCACATTTGCACAGGTCGTCACTCCATCTAGTGGGGGTCGTCCTCTGCGGACACTGCGATGGCCAGTACGAGGCTGCCACTCGAGAACCTTTCTTCCCCAACGGTTATCGGTTCTACGAGCTATATGGCCGGCCCATCGCCACTTCAGCTTGCTAATCCTCTGAGCTATATCGGTTATCTTAGTTCTACTGCGGATGTCTTCGTTACGAACTCTATCACGCAGAGAAATACCGAGCATAGCCCGCTCCATAGCTCGCTGAGCGACTTTGAGCTTCCTCATACGGCCAGCAGTGAAGGACCACGTCTCGGTTGATACAATATGTAAAGATTTTGAAGAAGCCTTCCATCATGTAGACCATATCATTCTTCTAAACCAATTTTGTGCAATTGGAATTTGCAAGGACTTATACAGAGTGACATGTTCTTGCAATAATAAAAATATAAGAATTATAAATATAAAAATAATATATATTATAAACAATAAAAATAGAAGGCAAGCAGTTGTATTAGGATTCGCCAGAAGTATGTAAATATAACGTCTGGGGTTCCACAGGGATCTATAAAGCGATCTGGATCTAAAAGCTCTTTAAAGAGATACACTTTCCATTTTTAAAATGAAACACCGTTGAAAGCATCTGGTGATTAAAAAATATACAATATTATATAATAATACACAATACAATACAATATTATATAACAATATTATATATTATTCTTTGATAACTCCACTGCAAATAACAATATCGCACTCCATTCATTGGTCCGTACGGTCGTGAAAACAGCTCGAATAAAAATACGCTTTGAGAAATCTACCTTCTTGTGAGCCCGTGAAAAGCCCGCGAGGGTGAGAAGAAGAAAGAAGAAGAAAGAAGAAGAGGAATTCGCGGCAACGAAGCTCTAGCGAGTCCAGAGGACTAAAAGAAACATCAAGCGACTGTATCGGTTTCGCAAACATCGATGCAACCGTCAAAGGTAAAAGTTTAAAAAGATAATGTTCCTCGAGTGAAAACAATGCAACCAAAGTCATTGTTACGAGGAACAACACAACAATTGCTTTGGACATAGGCCGTCGCGCCCGATTTGTCACGCACGCGATGCCGCGGTCTCCCGTTCGACCTTGACTTCGCATTCATCCGAAAACCACAGTGGCTTACCGCCCTCAAAACACCACATAACTCCAATAGCAACACGGATAAGGTTGAATTTGAGCCGAATAGGATTTCCACGCCGCTAGAGCTGTCTTTGCTAAATGTCCAGATAATGTTGAGCTCTGACGCTGACGCAGCCGAGAAGACGCAGAGGTGGTCATTCGCTGGTTTCGAGCTTGTGAAAAGATGCACCGACAATTTTCGATGTTTGTACTAATGATCGCTGGGAAAAACGTTGCATGTATAGTACGCGTACAATTAGGTTTGGAAACGGTAATTGCGTTTATAACGCATAAGGTTTCGACGAGACGTTTAATCGGATTTAGTCGGACAATCGATTTCGTCGTTTGCTTAACTTGTTGCTTAATTGTTCGTTACGAAATGATACGCGTGTAATAAACGTTAATGTATTATTTATTTTTATTTCATTTATTTGTAATTCATTTCTACGCCTTAACCTAGAGGCTAGAGCGGATTTAATATCTAATGGTATCTATCAATCAACGTTTGGAAAGTCATTATTTGATGCGAATGTTTCATCATAGTAATATAATTTATCATCATAATAATATATTTTTAGAACACATTTTTACACAACGTTCTCTAGTCCCTAAAAGCTCTGAACTAAGTAACGTTGGTACTATGGGTACTAGGTAACTGATTAACATACTTAAACATACTTTTATTTTGTAAATAAATACACATTATACATATACAAACACCCAGACACTAGAAAAACGCTATGTTTGTCACACAATATATTCCGGTAGTGGGTTCGAACCCACTCTGTCTGGCGCAGAAAGCAAGTACACTACCCACTGCGCCATTCGGCAATTTAATGTAATGTAATAAATGTAGTGTAATGTTTGTAACACTCGTTAGAAACAATTTTTAGTGTTTGTATTATTAATCCATAATATAAAATTTACCACGCCAAAGTATAAGTAGTAAAGTAAAATAACAGCCTATAAATGTCCCACTGCTGGGGAAAGGCCTCCTCTGTTAAGAGGGTAAAGTCTAAGAGCCAAATCAAATAGCCGTGATAGCTACAGTATACGGGCCCTCCCGTTGCATTCAATATACTCTAGCAATCTGAGTTTATCCCGGTGCCGGTACCAATAATATTGTGATTTTTAGTGTACATTCATCATATGTCCAGCGTTAAAGGAAAATGTCTGGCTAGTAATAAATACAACACACAGCAAAGTAACATGAGTTATGGGAAGGAAAGTAAGATAAACAATGACATACTTTCAGCCCAAAGATATGCCGACGCTATGATATCATTAACAATTTGCAATAACTTACTATACGTTGTACATACAAGAGATAAAAGATCACGAAATGTATTGTCATATAAAAATGGCTGTTTTATTCCAATTTTGAATGAATAAACGATTAAAACACAGTTTTCCGTAAAAATCAATTATTTCCATTTAAAATTTCCACGCGGGCGAATTCAGTGCAACCTGTTTATACAAGTAACCCCATGTTTAACGTAAAACTTGTCGAGCACAATGGTCTGATAAGGTGAGTGGATAGTTCTGGAAGGCAGCCGAGGAATGAATGGAGCTGAAAGTTCATGATCACGTATCGCTATTTGCCGACCGCGCCCTACTCTCGGTTCTGAGGTGGCTTTTTCGCAATCTCACTTCTCTATCTGCCAGTTATACTAAGCTATTTGAATATTTCAACCTCGCAAATGTTATGAATAGGACTCGTACGGTGTATAAAGTTTATGTGCAGAGTCGTTAACTAACTTGGTTCAATGAAAACATCGTAATAATAGGAATTCGATATAAAAATAAAATCATCGTGGAACAAACTTCAAACGATGAACGACCAATCGATTGACCAATGTACAAAAATAGCCCCTATATAAACGTCCAGCAGAATTATTAACTGTTGGTATAAATTTCCTGTTTTAAATTAGAATCCGCAATGCCGAATTTAGATTAGCAACTGTTTAGATAGAGTCATAAGCTTTACTTTCAAATTCAATTACTCAATAATAATAATAATCACAACTGAATTATTAATATCAAGGCTTATCCCAAGCAGTAATATAAACAAAACTTTAAATATCACAATGTATCATTAAAATTGAACTTTATAATTGTGCCATAATTTAAATATTGGTGTGAACGCCATCGAAGGTTCGAGGGCGTTGTCTAAATGTTAACTAGTGCGAAGAATTCCATTTTTATAGTGCGCCTGACCTTTAAGCAAGGATATAATGTGTATTTAAGTGCAACTACTAAATAATCTAGCTAACCGCAAGATATACAGGTTTTAAACTGAAATGTCCGTCTGCCATGGGAATAATTCTTTTAATATGTGATGCATGAGGCATACGTTATGAAATCGTGCGAAGATATACATAGAAAACTTTATTCAGTTGTTTCTACACTTAAAGGCCTATTTATACCAATTTATATAATTTTACATCTAATAGATATGTCCCATGGTCGACGTTTCCAATGAGGTCGCGTGGTAGTTGATAATTTGTTACGTTTACCATGGGATTTACGTTTGGTATATTTTCTATGTCCCTCGCAAACCATTTTGTTATCCTTGTTTTTTATTTGAAAAGTTGGCTACCGAGCTGGCGGTCTATGTGATGTTAAGTAATTACCGCCTCCCATGGACATATACAGGACCTGACGGATCGCAGAAGAGGAACGGGATGGCCCTGGTTACTTCACTACCCAGAGGAAACGTGAAAGTACAATACGCGGTCTTCCGTGAGGCCGTGGTACCTTCCCGGACGAGCCTGCCCATTCGTGCAACAGTCGAAGCTGCTGTGTGTGGCCCTACCACAATAAAATGATCCCATAGCTTTAGGAGTGTGCAAACCTTGTAGGCTTTTGAAGCTTGTAAACTGAGCGAACAGGATTTACAACCAGGGGACACGGGACTTCGGCTAATTTTCCAGGTCGCTCGTAATTTTGAGCGATTGAGGCTTTGTTTTCATTAGATAAGTTAAGAACTGTAACGGTAAAGGCAAGAGCCCAGTGGTCCGTATCCCGTTGTTCAAAATTCCCTAGCAGACAGCGCCGCGGGCTGCAGCCAGTTAAAAACAGAATAGCACATTTAGGGGCCACGGTAGCGATATCGCGAGCTCGGCTCCGTAGTCCAGCTGCGGCGGTAAGCTTATCGCCGCCTATAAACGTCAGTATGACAAGTTGCGCCTCCTTTGCCCCGGACAATGCAACAGCATTGGTCAATTTACGGTGCCGTTAAACTTAACCGGCAATAAGAGCGGGGCTTTATCAAAATTATCGTCTGGATTGAGGGGCTGTCGTGTGTCGATTGCAGGAAGTGACTAAGATAATAAACGGTTTACCGTGTCGGATTCGCTTTGGCCGTTATTTGAATAGTTAGACTGAGTTACGGTTTTATGGTACATGACGGGTTTACGTCGTAGCTTAGAACATTAAAAATACAATTCGTGGCCGCACAGACATTATTATACCAATAAGTTTTAACAGCAGCTTCCACTATGTGTTTACTAGCACTGTTCCTTGATGTCAATGATATTGGCTAAATTTTTTATGACTCACTGGCCTGAATAAACTCTCTTTGGGATCATTCCAAGATCCGATTATCACACAATGACTACCAATTGTCTGTTAGTCACACAAACAATCGCCGCGTGTGGGAATCGAACCTACGGCCCTCAACCGAAATCAATAGCTAAGAAACCGCGCTGCCGAGTCTCCTTTTTTAACCGACTTCGAAAGGAGCAGGTTTTTTAATTCAACTGTATTTTTTTACGTTTGTTAATTCATAACCATTGACTGAGTGAGCAGATTTTAATGATTCTTTTTTTATTCGAAAGCTGGTGCCTCCCACGTGGTCCCATATTAATTTCATTGTTATTGGATCTCGGGCTCCGCAGATACTTTGGGAAATCAATCATGAAATGAATACAGAGCGAGACATTCGAAGTTGGTTTTGTTTTTTGTTAGTAAATAAAACCGTTTAAAAACTTTTAAGTTGAACGGTTTTATTTTATGTTTTTTTTTTGTTAATATTGTATTGTCATCTAAATTAAATGTGTGTACCAAATTTCAGTCAATCAATCTGACAACGGCAAGGTGCTTAAATTTCAATTTCTAATTTTGACCCAAACAAACAAATTCCGTACGGGTCGAGCTAAATAAAACCGTTTAAAAATGGTTATTTAATTAACTAAAATAGCTAAATTCAGAAATAGAGATATTTTAAAAATTTCAACATTCTTTGACGACCAAAATAAGTATTTAATAAGAAGTATTAGCAATTAATAAGATTTAATTACAAATAGTGAAAATAGAGCGACTAAATCATTATAATTAAATCAACGCTACGTTAGGTAATGCATTCACTTACATCTGAACTGGCCCTTGAGTCCTTGACCTGCGTTTAAATGGCAACCAACGCCAAGTTTACGGACCACCTGATTAGTACTCGATACACAACTCGTATTAAATTCTTAACAAAACATGTTTTTCTCTCAATATACAGCGTGTCGTTACAACCGCGACAATAAATGAACCCATGTCTTCTACTTGCCAATAATCATAAAAAATATAAAATGTTAAAAAAATCCATAATTAAAAAAATATATTTTACAAACAAAGTAATCAAATAAAAAAGAAACAAAATTTTTAACAACTACAACTGACTGATTCATACATTCAGAGACGTTTTCATTCGTGGATACAACGTCGTATTACAAGTCTCTCTTTCTAACAGTATGTTTTATCTCTTTTAAATTCATTCAACCCATTAACATGCTTTGTGACCTTTAACTTTAAGGTACATTTTTATATGTATGGGTGTTCTAAAAATGTTTATTTGTAAAATTTAATAACTCGGTAAATATTGATGTTTAATGAATGTAAATGCTTAATACAATTTTAAAAAGTTATCCTCTATATGTGTGTTCATTTATTGTCGCGGTTGTAACGACACGCTGTATATAATAAATTGAGCAACATATATATTACATTTAAGGAGAGATTGCCGTAGACATTTCATGAATACATTTTGTCGTTTTTCGATTCTTTTTTGTATTTTTAGGGTTTACCCTTACGGGACCCTATTTTTAAGACACCACTGTCAAGCTGTCCGTCTGTCGCCAGGCTATATCTCATGAACCGAATGATAGACAGTTTAAATTTTCACAGATGATGTATTTCTGTTGCCACAAAAACTATAAATGGGAGC